GTGTGTGTGTGTGTGTGTGTGTGTGTGTGTGTGTGTGTGTGTGTGTGAGAGTGTGTGTTTTGTGTGTGGGAATTAACTATAATGGAACATGGAGGAGGTTTTCGGTTTCCTCATTTGACAAAGTCAATAACCTTTTAGTGACCACGTTCTTACATTCAAACTTGTTTAGAGGATAAATATGCAAATCACCATTACATTCGTTATATAAGAAGGGCCCGAGGAAGCCGAAGACGTGATGGGCAAAGGATGTAAACCACGACGAATAATGGCACACACGATCACGGCGTCGAAAATTAACTATCCGAGATCGATCGTAAGATGTCTGCGAATGTACCCTCAGGATGGTGTACAGAACAAATAGTTGGCGTACGGATAGAACTTGCCAATCTCGGAAAAGTTCTCGAGTTGGAAAAAGGAATGGTCGGAATGACGCCACTTTCAAAACCGCTCGTTGAGCCACTTCCAATTTCATAAGAGTCGTTTTTGCTACACCACCCCAGGATGAAATGCAGTAAAGAAGAATGGTTTGACACGTAGCAAAGTATACCATCCTAAGAACATCAAAATCGGCTATATGACGTAAAGTTTTGAAAACTACTATTAACTTTCGAACACGGTTAGAGAGAGAATTAATATGATTTTTAAAATTAATATGTTGGTCAATATTTATACCCAAATATTTGAACTCTTGGACGGACTGCAGAGCGGGGCACCGGCATCCACCACGATTACAACTAACAGGAGAGTCATGAGCAATGAGTGTGTGGCCAATAGTAGGCAGCGAATTAGAGCGCATTCCAAATACCATATATTTGGTTTTTTGTGCGTTTAAAGTTAACAGATTACAGTTTAACCAACTTAGGATAGAGTTGAGCCCTATTTGAGCACGTTGAAAAACTTCCTGCCAAGAGTCAGCTTGGAACGAAAGTGTTGTGTCGTCAGCAAAGGATATCACAATCCCATTTGGTAACTTAGTTTGGCACAAATCATTTATAAACACCAGAAACAGAGATGGCCCTAGGATACTTCCTTGGGGCACTCCATACGATATTGAGAGTTCGTCACTGGTGAAGTTTCCAATTTTAACTTGTTGTGTACGATTGGCAAGATATGATTGAAATAATTTAAGTGCGACTCCTCTTACCCCGACGCCCTCAAGCTTTTTGAGTAAAAGTGGGATCGAGACCGTGTCAAAAGCCTTAGCCAGGTCCAAGAAGAAGGAAAGACACTTCTTCTTATTGTCCAAACCGCGAACGATAAAATTAACTAGCTCATGAACAGCACCGTCTGTTGATTTACTAGCTCTGAAACCAAATTGCTGTGGAGACAGAATGTTATATTTTTCTAAATATTTCATTAATCGAGTGTTCATGATTCGCTCGAGAATTTTGGACAACGAGGGAAGCAATGAGATTGGGCGATAGTTACAGACACGGTCTCTATCCCCTGACTTGAATATTGGTGTTATGACAGCTTTTTTGAAAACGTCGGGAAAACAGCCGGATGTAAGGCTTAACTGGCAAACATGGGCAATGATTGGTGATAATAAAGCGGCATATCTTTTAAGGAAGTTTGATGGTATTCCGTCCCAACCCACAGCACAGTTAGCTTTGAGACCAGTAATCAAATTTAATACTTCGTCTTCGTCTGTAGCTAGCAAGGCAAATGATTATGAGACCTGTGTGCCATGTGAAGAGGAAGTGGTCGACCCCAAATCCTTAGATCCGATAACCTCGGCCAGGGAACTGCCAACACTTGCAAAGTATTCATTACAAGCATTAACAGAAAGTTGTGGCAAGCTTTGGGATTTTAGTAATTCCATAGCGGATTCCTTTGGTGTTTCCATGGAGGTATTGGTTTTAATGACTTTCCAAAGTTTTTTATTATTAGAACGAGCTTCTCGTTTCTTTGAAATCTACGCTTTAACTTTTTTAATATTTCATTACAATAATTCCGGTACCTTCGATAAGCAATCAATAGGATATTGTCATTTTGTGTCACCCTAAGTTTCATATGCATATTGTCCCGGTTTCGCATATATCGTAGCAATTCCAATGTAATCCAAGGCTTGAGTATAGAAAACCGATGTGACAACTTCAGAGTTTTGGTGTTTGAAACAAGTGCCTGCGCAAGAAGATTAACAAGAATGGATGCAGCAGCGTTACAATCATTACATGAGAGAACAGAGGAAAAGTCCATATTAGACATCGCGATATCAACGGCAGCACAATCAACCTTCCTACATTAAATAGTACCTACGTATAAGATAGTGGACCGAATCACAGGCGGTTTAAACATTTATTATTTGTTTATCTTTTGATTTTGGATAACTTACCCTGTGGAACTTAAGGACAGGCTTAATTGGTTAAAATGTCTTCAAATCATGATTGAAAGTTCTTTAATCAGATCAATTAATAAAGAAAACATTATTGTTCGAAAAAAGTAGACCCTGTCTGAGTATCCTAATATGGACAGCCCAATTTCCAATCGTAAACACCCCGTCATGAACCAACCGTGACCATGGGACCTGTAAAGGGCTCGAAACGTCGGTTTGTTTGAGAAAACAAATATACGCGATTTAAATCCGGAAAAATAGTTTCATTTCCTGTATGTAACAATCGCGAAAACCTAAGAACTCGAGTTCTTATAAGGCTTCAGTTGAAAACCAGAATTTAGCAGGTGCTCTGTAGTACTTAAAGATTAGGTATGTCTACAGGGTGTACGAGAAAGGTGTAGTCATATTAAAGGACTCAAACGTACACTTGATTTAGACCCTCTGAGCAAAATTTCAATTAAAAGTAAGCGACTTTTAATGTTCATACAAGTTGAATCAAGTTCTGTACATAGCAAAACATCCACTGCGCCAACTCTCTTGCGAGTTATGTTACGATAACTTCATTTGCATAAGAGTACGTGCGAACGAACGAGCGAGGCGAAACAATTGCTGAGCACTATCGAAACGCTCTTTGGAGCATAATATGTCTTTTGAATATTTGAAACGTGAAATATTTATTTATTCGCAAGCAAACACGGTAACAAAAGATGTTATTATACAAGGTTTCAAGAACACGTGTTCCACCAGATACTGCCACGCAAATATTAAAATAAATTGAAATTAAATAATGTCATAATAGTACATTATGATACAAGTGTGCTAAGTTGGTCATTACACACGAGGCGTTATTACTCGCGCGAGCCGCAGGCGAGCGCGATAAGAAAGCCGAGAGTGTAATGATCAAAGCACACGTGTTTCATACGACGTTTTTCAACACATTTGCGAGGAAAATGAAACAAACTTGAGTAAAATGGAAATGAAAAATAGCTTTATTTGGCATTAATTATACAGATACACTGAATACTATATTAAGCTCACGTTAATGTAAATAATATTATTCTATTCTATACTATATCTATCAATAGCAACTAATTAAGAGTCTCCAAAGCCTATCAAAGTCATTGTATCTTGATTTTATCAAAAATGTAGTTATTTAAATTTAATTATTAAAACAATTGTTAAATGTACAATTTTCAAAATGGTAACGTGCAGTTTTGTTAGGCATTTGAACCGTCTGTGTGATATTATTTGTTACTATTTCATTATTGTCTTCTTGCGTAAAAGTCGGTGATACGGGTTCATTGTGTACAAATATGGATGAAAGTGGTGGTGGTTCATTTAAAGACTCAGAAATAGACAACCTAGGTAACAAATAACTTGTATCACGGGAGGTGGATGGCTGCGGTTCAGGACACATCTTCTTAACCTGGGGCTCCAGATTTATAGCGTGGGTTATTTGAGTACATATGTTGGACTTATTTCGAACTGAATCTTCAACATAAGACTCAGCAACTGAGCTAGATCGCCAGCCACCATGACGCTTTAAAGTAAGCAAATCAGCTCCCGAGTCAGCTAGCAATGTAGCTGATGTTCTTCGGAAACTATGCCCAGTGTATAAATCCGGGTCGGGTAGATTTAAAAACTTGGCAATTTCTTTAGGCATTGCACCAAATTTATTAATGCCTATTGGCTGAGCCACGCATCCCATTATTCTCATAAGGACAGATTCTCAATAGGACGGATTCTCAAGAAGACGGATTCTCATGAAGACAGATTCTCAAAAGAACAGCAGTACACGTAAGGAGAAAAAGAGAAAAAAATAGAGATAAAATTATTTTAATAACTTGTCAATTGTCGTCGTCAAAACGTCTTAGTATCGCAAGGCGTTGCAAACACTCAAAGACCGATATTTCACTCCGTACACATTCAGATACAATCTGTTCAATTTTTCTGTCAACTAAAATGTCACTTTTTCTCCTTCTTTTTCCCGTACAATAAAAGGACCCTCTGACAATTTTTATGTCCGACAGTTTTGCTTCCTTCTTCAAAAGCATGATGAAATAAAGCATCGATGGCCTTTTAGGAATTCTAGAATTAATTCTTTTATGCCACCCTTCGATTGCGTTTGTCGTTCGAAATTTCTCGCCAAAACAACTGAAAACTTCTCTCGTAATAAGATTGATCCATTGCTTCGAGAAATAATTTTGGAATTGTGTACTTTCTTCAGTATTAGGAGCTAATTCACATAATGTCAGATACGCCTCCGGTATAAGCGACGCTGGCAACAGTGCTAATAAGGAAAAGAGCTGAGTACATTTACGACCCTCGTTGGATGAACTAAAATTAATCGATTTCGACTTTTTCCAAACTGCGTTTGTAAAATGATAGTAGCAACCCTTTACTACAATGTCAGGATATATTGCCTTTATCGCTTGGATAATAGCCAGTTCGTAGTCACATTTGAAAGTGCTGATATTCATAAAAAATTGATATTTTAAAATTTTGAAAAGTCTCTCGTATGTAGTTTGGCTTTTGTTGGGCAACAAAGCGAACAACAATGGCACAAAGCACACAGTTCCTGATTCATGCGTAATGTCAGCATGTACAGAAAACAGCTGATAGAAAGGAATCGGGCAACATCTAAACGTTCCATCAACGTACACAATATCAACTGTTTTCAATGTTGCTTTTGCCAGTCGAGTACCAAAAATTATAATCTTCTCTTCAACACCATCGTCATACAAAAAGAAATCACTTACTAAACTGTCTGGCAACTGCACATCTTGGGGTCGCAAAAATTTACTTTTTTTTACATTTAAAAATTTATAGCGTGCCCGATACAGCGTATCCTTTTTTGAACTGAATGTAGGTAATTCCTCTGGGGAAAGCATTTCGCCCTGACCAAATGTATGATCAGAATCCTGTTTATGAAGTTTGTAATAGTGTTTCTCAAAAATTTCAGGTATAGGCGCCATATTAAGACAAACCTCTTGTTTGGCTAATGACATTGTGAAATCAATTTTGTTACGTTCATAATCTGGTAAACATACATGTTTAGCTTCTTTCACAATTTCTTTATTATCAGCTGTTAATGTTATGGAAGTGCTACAAATGTTTTTATTGACGCATCGCCAATTAGTTGTACCACACATATTTGTTTTAACAAAATTATATTTATGGCCAGCGTGCAGAAGCACCATTCCTTGATTCGATAACCGGCCTTTACCTATAACAATAAGTAAAAAACTTCATTCGGTGCTTCTTTTCCGTGGTTCAGTCGTGATATACCGGTTGACAGGACCACAGCTAAACTTTTGGTTGTCTATAGATTTGACTGTACCCATGGTCACTAAGAATTATCGTCTGTCCGGTTAACTGTACTACCACATGAAAGTTTAGGTATGGTATGGTCCGGTCAACCGATCTATCACAACTGAACTACTCCCCAGTTCTATCCATCAATACATGTTGTACAGCTCCAAACGGAACAGAGACGATAGGAAAACTGTCCTGACACAGTAAATGAATATTCATAAAAATTAACAGCTCATAAACTGAGTCGTACCTTTATTTCCTTCAATTATCACGATGTTAATTTTTCCAGAACTAGGGCCCGCTTTATCCATTTTTGAAAAAAAAATCAATGATTTTACATAGAGATAGGAAAATTAGCTTACATTCAAGATATTTCATGACAATGTCAAATCAATGACATGTTTAATAATTAGTTTTATCAAATCACCAGTAACAAAACAAATTATACAGCAAGGAGATTACACTTTCCACTGCAATTTACTCATATACCTACTCTGCTGTTTCAATCCACTATTCCCCGGGAGTCAACAACAAGCATCGTGTATGGATACCCACGGTCCATACATAGGCCTGTGCCCTGCAGTGGGACGTATACAGGCTGTGTGATGATGATGAAACAAACCGACACACCATAATGCGTTATATGTTATGTATTGTGAAAAAAAGGATCAATTAATAATTTCAAATAAATTTAAAAAATGATCACGTGCATCATAAATGCACAAATTAACCATTTATGATGTATCGGTTTGTTTACACCCTGGCAACAGTGGATTGACATTTTGACCAAATATTGTGATATCATCATCAGTATCACTTCAGCCGAAAGACGTCCACTGCTAGAAATAGGCATCCCTCAATGATAGGCATCCTCAATTATCGCCACGACGACAAAAAAAAGTACTATTTAAAGGCCCATACAAAAAGTAACCAACGCGCAAGGAACATGCAGACATACGTTAAACTTATGTTACCGAGGCGTATTTCAAATACTTTTGCGTGCACCTGTACAATTTCCGGTTTTTTGAGAATCTGTCTTCATGAGAATCCGTCTTCTTGAGAATCCGTCCTATTGAGAATCTGTCCTTATGAGAATAAAGGCACGCATCTACCCTTCTGGTAGTTTTGAAAAAACCGATCGGATTTTGCCTTATCTGTCCTAAGCGCTTCGTACTTTTTTACTATGTCGTAAAATGGACCGTGAATGGCAAACGATCTCGGTACCTTATTTTTAGTGTTGTTAATTTTAATCAAAAGCATTTGGCCATGAGTTTCTACGTCTTTTGCCGTTACTTCGCTTAGTTCTTGGCGTCTACACGCGCCAGTGACACCAAATATCATTGCAACCTGTAAAGAAATTAAAAATATAGGTATTTTCGCAAATATAATACAAGAAAAATGAAAACATAAAAAAATTAAGGTTTAATACGATCAACTGACCTTTGTTGCTAAATACTGATAATCGGGGGCTTCTTTTAAAAACTTTTCGACGTCAGTTGGCGAAAGTACCTTCGATTTTCTTGCAACATACCCATCAGAGCGTCTCTTTAAAAATGCCGTCAGATTTGAATAGTTTTTTATGTCTATGTTATTCTTGTTCTATACTGTGGTCTTTAACATAGAATAAATGCACCAGAGCGAGCTGGGCTTAAACCTATTCGCCAGTTCATTAAAATAGGCAAGAAAAACATTTTCTGAAAACGAAGACGCTTTTTTGTTGGTTTTCCATTGTATAAAAGTTTCATATGCAGCCATGTAATGTATTTTTCTCTGGATTTCGAAGGTAATAAACTGTCACTTGCGTTTTGTGCCTCTGTGAGGATTTCGGGCGGTGTTAAATCCATCAAAATGTTTTCTTCCGTGCTTGAGCAGGACATTTTAAACACCTAGGTAATTATCTAACACACAGCGTATATAAACGTTTCGAACGTATCAATGGAAATTGGCGCGCAGAGTTATTTTTTCTGCGCCTGGCGCCGCGGCGCGGATATGCGCGCGCAGGTGCTTCGGCAATAATGAGACTTAGGTGAAATTCCTAAACAGCCAATGCGAAATAATATAAATATGTCCTTATTTCACTCAAATTCGTGTAAAATATTATCCAAAATAAGTAATTTTATTCAATTAAAGTTTTATAGGTGTATATTGTGTATGTTTTTCTATATTTATCACATCAAATAAGAAATATAAATTTATTAATAAAAATATTATTTGTAAGGTAAGACTACACAACCGTATTAAACAGAAATAAAAAAAAAACTGTGACCCTGTCTGTTTGGGATTATTGTCATTGTAATTTGAATCTTATAATATGTAGGTTAGAGCTGTTTTTTTAATAGACCAAGTTAATTTCAAAGACATAACCCGGATAATTTAAGAATGCATAGTTTTAATACATAGGCCTTGTTGTGAGATACATCTTAATCCGGTTAAGCCTATACTTATTACACACACGTTTTGTAATATAATTACAAACGCGTGTTCAATAGCTAGGTTTATGAGCCTAAAAGCGATACAATAAGAAGCCCGTTACGAGCAAATGTGTTGAAAATTAAAATTATATAATTTGTCAATTATGCAATGTCAAATAAAATTAAGTAAAAATGCCAATAAATAGCAACAGCAATAAAATCATAAATTAAACAATATCAAAGAAGTAGGAACAGCACAAATATAAACAAAATATCAAATACAAACTAAATGTCAATTTCTTTTTTTTTTAATCTTTGATATCATATAAACACAGATCACATAGTAAATCAAATAACTTTTTTTTAAATATTTTTGTAGGTAAGTCTGCGATAGCTGCAGGCAAAGCATTATACACTCGCGAGCAACCAAACCGACTCAATGTCTAAGCGCGCATTCAGAGTAGGTTTTATCAAAAAGTTTACAACAGCATCAATATATTTAGCATCAATATCGATTCAGTAGTTTTTAAAAAATAAAATAAAATAGGCAGTACAGGAAAATTTACTCGCGGTACCCAGTACGAGTTGGGCGACCAACTAACCCGATAAAACCTCCCGCACGCGGCTTATCCCTACAGTCGCTTTCCAGAAGTTGACTTGAACGCATCTCCGTGAATCGTCATCACTATTTTGACAAAACCATGGATACAACACCGGAAGAAGCCGCTCGAGTTGTTGCTCTTTTGCAACAGGGACTTAGTCAGCGATCTGTCGCTGTTCAACTGCACCTAAGCCAATCTGCTGTATCAAGGGTATACAGAAGATTTTTAGAGACTGGTGTATTCGAACGGAGGCCGAGAACCAGCCCTCACAGGTGCACAACTCAAATCGACGATCAGTTCATAGTCTCTACATCTCTACGAAATCGCCACCTGACTGGTGTCGACGTACAGCAAGAGCTAAGACGTGTTCGAGGAGTGGTTGTAAGCAAGTGGACAGTTCGAAGACGCCTGAGGGAAGCCAACCTTACACCAAAACGTCCTGCAACTGGTCCGAAATTGACGCCAAGCCATCGACAAGAGCGCCTGCAATTTGCTAGAGAGCACCTCAATTGGAACCACGAGCAATGGCGGGCTGTCTTGTTTACTGACGAGTGCAGAATGTGTCTGCATGGCAATGATAGGAGAGGTCGGGTGTATAGGCGCCCAGGTGAACGATTTTCGCAGTGCTGTTTCACTGAAACTGTTGCATATGGCGGCGGCTCTTGTATGATGTGGGCTGGAATTTCTTTAGACGGGAAAACCGAACTCGTTTTCGTGCCTGGGGGAGGCCGAGGAGGAGGATTGACAGCCGATCGGTATATTACCGATATTCTCCTAGAACATGTTGTTCCGTACGCGGGGTTTGTCGGCGATAACTTCTTATTGATGCACGATAATGCGCGGTGTCACACTTCGCGTATAACTAAGCGGTTTCTGGAAGAAGTTCGTATACAGACCATGGACTAGCCAGCGCTTAGTCCAGACATGAATCCCATCGAATATTTATGGGACGAGCTCAAACGAAGGGTTCGAGCCAGAAATCCGGCACCTTCAAATATCAATGATCTCAAGATGGCGTTGTTAGAGGAATGGGACGGAATTCCTCAAGAAGTTATTAAAAAGTTGATCAGGTCAATGAAAAATCGACTACAAGCTGTTAGTAGGGCTAGAGAGGGTAACACCAAATATTAATTAAATAAATTTATTATTTTTTTATTTTTTTTGTTTTAATTCAAATAACAATCTCCATAAATTATTTTTCTAAATTCCTATTTTCCCTAATTGTTAACTTTATTACCATTATTTCAAAAACAACGCAATCGATTTTTATGCTAATGGGACCATCTTAAAGCTAAAGTTTCAGGCTATCAGAAAATAAGACATTTTTATTAATTGACTGGGTAGTTTTTGATAAAAGCTACTTTATATGCAGGTGTAGGGTCTGAGTCGGTTTGGTTGCTCGCGAGTGTATATTTGTAAGGACATGTTATAGCAATTCCTCCTAAATATAAAAGCAAGTACTCTCATGGGAGGGGCCAGCTAAGCAGTTTGGATATCTAGTTAAAAAATTACATGCTTCGCGTTTCCTAGTAAATAAGACCAAGTTTTTTTTTAACAAACATGCATACCTCATATATGTACATGGCGGGAAGCGTTAGAAGATTTAGCTTTCTAACAAACGGTCTACAAGATTCGAGCGGACCTACTCTACATATAGCTCTGACACATTGTTTCTGGATAGCAAATACACGGTTTATCTCTACGCAGTGCCCCCAGATGATGAGGCCATACCGCAAGCTTGAGCAGACAAATGCATGGCAGGCCATCAAGGCAGTCCTCTGATCACATATGTGCGTTAGACGATGTAAACCAAATACAAATTGATTCAGCTTTGCACATTATGAATCAACCTGTGGTTTTCATGTCAGTTGAGAGTCCAAAACTATGCCTAGAAAATTGCTGGATGAGCATTCCACAATTTCATCTCCATGACATCTTACAGAGAGTGTCTGGGGCTTTTCATTATAATTATAAAATTGTATGAGCTTTGTCTTTGAAACATATACTTTCAGATTATTTCTCTTAAGCCAGTCAATAATATTACATATAGTGTCATTTATTTCTTTTTCATAATCTATGTCAGACATTGATATGTCATCTGCAAAAAGGGTGCATATATATTTTGTAATTTCAGGGAGGTCATTAACATACAATAAAAACAGCAATGGACCTAAAATACAGCAAGTATTTTAGGTCCGCCATATTTGAGCCACACCGTATTTATTAACTTTAAACTCTGATCTGTGGGTCTCAATCTCATTATTATTATTTAACTTCACTACCTCCACACACTGAGTTCTATTGCTAAGGTAACTTGTTAGCTATCCAGTTATGCACCTGGCCACGAAAACTTACGTAGCTTTCTAATTTGGATAGTAGAGTTTTATGGCAAACGCAATCGAAAGCTCTACTCATGTCAAATAAAACAGAACAGACAGGTACTTTCTTATCTGCAAAAGTTGAGATAGG